GTGGGAAAATTATTCCGTTGGAAGTTGGTCGATTTCCGTATCCACTTTCCGAAACTGTGTTTGATGCCAACATTGAAACAATCGATATCATTTCGGAAAATCGTAGCGCGTAAGAGAGATTCAGGCTTTTCATTGGATGGGCAGTAATGCTGATCCATATCGCTTCGTTTCGCTTTTCCCTCGCGCTATTTGCCCACCTTCGTCCTATTGCAAATGACCGTTGCACAAATTCATTCTGATTGCAGTTCGTCTATGCTGCCGCGTCATATCAAGGATGACGTTGAGCCGATTCATCTACTAGGGTTCAATATAGCTAGAAAGTAAGGAATTGTTGAAGACGTCGCAATTACAAAATCTCCAGATTTCCAGACCAAAATGGCTTCAATTTGTGCTTCTTTCAGGAGCCATATTCATTTTGTATTTAGGATACGGGTATATGCAAGTAGGTTTTCGACAGGATGGTCCGTTCAAAACATTTGTAACTTCAGGAATTAATATTCAAACTTCCGGGAATGAAACCATTCGGATGGACACTAACACTTATTCAATTCGTGATTTATAGTGGATGTGGTTATGCAGAATGTGCCGTATGGCATAATACAAAGAGAATGATTCCATGGAGAATCTACGGAGTCATCGCATTCTTCACAGTTGCCACAATGGGCCTTTCCAACGCTTCAGTCGGATATCTCAATTATCCAACTCAAGTAATTTTCAAATGCTGCAAACTGATTCCAGTTCTAATTGGCGGTATTTTGATTCAAGGAAAACGCTACGGTTGGATCGATATCAGTGCAGCAATTCTTATGAGTTTAGGTAAGAATCTTACCGTAATATAAATTTTTTTAATAAAAAAATTAGGAATCATCATGTTCACTTTGGCTGATAACAAAGTGTCCCCAAACTTCGATTCTCGAGGCTATATCATGATCAGTGGAGCTTTATTAGCAGACGCTGTGATCGGAAATATTCAAGAGAAGAATATGAAGAAATATGGAGGATCTAGTAATGAAGTGGTGGGTATTAATCAACTAAATAACCAGCTAAATTCCATTTTTCAGGTACTGTACTCCTATGGAATCGGCTCTGTGTTCATTTTCACCTACGTCGTTCTTTCCGGAGAAATCTTCAGCGCTATCCCATTCTTCCTCGAAAACTCGTGGAAAACATTTGGATACGCTCTGATCTTCTCATTTTTGGGATACCTCGGAGTCAACGTGGTGTTGACCCATATTAAAGTTTTTGGAGCTCTAGTGGCGGTTACTGTGACAACTCTTCGCAAAGCGCTCACTATCATTTTATCATTTTTGCTCTTCTCAAAACCCTTCACGATTGAATATGTCTATGCTGGATCCGTTGTGATGCTGGCGATTTATTTGAACTTGTACAGTAAGAACAAAGCGTCATGGGACCATATGATAAGGATATTCGTGGCACGAGCAATGGGATATCATGCAGTGGCAACGAAAAAGGACCCAATGATGGTGTAAATATAAATTATTTTAGTAATTATTCTTTTTGTTAACATAGTTTTATCTTTTTGGGATCGGGTATAATGCTTGCTTTTTCTGAGATATTTAGATTTTTATTTGACAAATAATTTATTTGAATTCATGTATTTTTTTTGTTAAAATCCATTCCATAAAAAGGAAAGTTGATATATTTACAAAAGAAATGGGGAACGTTTTCAAAATAATGGGCAAAAATAAGTGGTTGTTGGGGGACGGACATAGTATCTACCCGCGGCAGAAGCTCTGCGGATTTTCAGAAGATGAAGGAGTGCGACGACGACAAAATATAGAATGAGGAAGATGTTGTAAAGCTGAAGGAGAAGAAGAACAAAAAAGAAAATTTGAGAAATTATTCATCTGAATCAGCAGGAGATGAAGGACGTGGAGTTCGAGGCATCTCAAGAGCAGATGGGATATCGAGTGGAGTCTCGCATGGATGTACGACGATGGTTGGAGTCAATTCATCTCCGTTGTGAACTTCGTATCTGGAAAAATGTCGATTTTACAGTCGTTCTATCTCTTTTCTTTGTTTCAGCGATTTTATAAAATGATTCGCTGATTTTCCGTGCGACAGTCTGCGCCCGCCGACTTCTTTTTCGCGCCAGCGCAAGATTTGGGGAGAAAATGAGCATTAAAAAATAGGTTCTAACTCGAGAATTAATGAATATTTTTGAAAGAAAATTTGGAAATCAGCTAATTAGAAAAAGAGGATTTGTCTAAATACAAGGAATTCCAGAAAAAAAGTTATAATCCTTAAAACTTCAATTTTCTCAAAATCTCACTTCTCATCAATTGCAAATGACGCCAAACGAGCCATTAAATCGAAATTACACACGACTGGAGGCATATCTTTAGTCTGTTCCCATCCGACTGGCGGTGAGCATGGTGGAGAAATCAAAAACTGTTTTTCAAGTGGAGGTGGTGAGAGCATTTGTGAATTGGCACTCATGTAGATCCTTTGAGCGAAGAAGGCTTTCAGTTCGTGTCCCTTAAAAGAGAACCCTTGAACGATGAGTTTGGCGGCGGTGGCGTTTTCAGGGGAGCTGAAAATTGGAGTTTTTCCGGAAATGGGCGATTTTCAAAATGACTCACGAGAAGATTACTCGGACTCGTCGGAAGCTCCGCAGGAAATCGAAATGGATGTCTTTTTCGATTTGTGTGAATAGCGCTTTGAAGTTTGCCTTGTCTTCTTTGTGATCGAATACCTGAAAAAATTATTTTTTTTCGATGGGTTATATAAAAACCAAAAAACTCACGTCTTCTGGACATTGGGTGACAATGATAGCGTTCGGGAGATCATCTTTGCTGGAAACTGTGCTGATCAACTGTCCATTGGCAACAGATTTCGTTGATTTTTCCGAGTTATCAGCGACCATTTTTGCTGATATTTTGTGTGAAAAGGAAGAAAATGAACTGAATAAGAAGGCGTCTGAAATGAATAAAAACATTTTTTCTATCTTCTTTGTCGTGGGCGGCGTTAACGGAAATCGGTTGCCGGAGGGCACAATTTCGAAAAAAGCGCGAGAAAGAATCACAGGGATTTTCGAGAATCTCTGAAAACCCCCGCAAAAACAAGTATGACGGTGTGTGAAACGAAATTCAGTAAAATTCAGAATGGAATAAAAATCGATGAAATGGAAAAAAGAAAGAAGAGAGAATTAGAGAGAAAAAGAGAAGAAGAACGATACCTTTTGGGGGATTTGTGTGTTGTCTACCAACGTCATCAGGGGAATTCTGAATTCTATGAGGCTCAAAAATGACTGATGACACGGGTGAAGGAGGAACAAGAACGGAAAAAACATCATAATAAAGAAATTCTAGAAAAACTCAATTTCTGAATTTCTGAATTTCTGAATTTCTGAATTTCTGAATTTCTGAATTTCCGAATTTCGGAATTTCGGAATTTCTGAATTTCAGAATTTCTGAATTTCTGAATTTCTGAATTTCTGAATTTCCGAATTTCGGAATTTTTGAATTTCTCAAGTGAGGGACAGAGAAACATCATAATGAATAAATTTCTAGAAAAATTTCAAAATTAAAAAAATTTAGTTTCCAGAATAATGCGATTATGCTAGGTTTCGAAATTTACCGGAAATTGGAAAAAAGAAAGAAGAAGAAGCACATTGTGAAATCTAGAAAAATGAGTAATTCGCCTTCTGTTTATGCTTCTATTATACTAACAAATTGTGTTCTCTTCTTCTGATCCGCGCGGAAAAAACGAAAGAACCCGACCAGCAGAAACTAGACGGTATTTCGGAGAAGAAAAACTGTCCCCATGATGTCATTGTTTGTATAGCGTGATGGTTTTTCGAGGAGGAACAGTCGAAAAAGACGAAGATGATGATGATGATGCCGATGGCGAATTGTGACGTGGATTTTGGAAGATGGGGGAACGGAAGAAGGCGTGGCTTGGGATTATGAAAAGAAGGAAAAGAACCCTTAAGGGGACCGGGGTATTAATTGGAATTCGAGACTCAAAAAATTTAGAAGAAACCTTGTTCTTCAAATCCAAGGAATTTTTGAATTTTCGGAAAATATTTGGGGATAAAATTCCCAAATTCGAATAATCTACTGTGAAGTTTGAGCTCAATTATTTCGATTCCTGTGAAAGATATCAAAAAATTGTCAATTGATAAATTATTGGTGATATTATGATAAATAACTTATCAGTTGACAACTTTTTTTATATATTTCACAGGAGTCCAGATAATTGAGCTCATAGTTGACGGTAATGGTGGGTTTCTAGTGGAGGAAATACGGTATTTTCAGAAAATAGATTTCCATTTTTAGAATGTTCTAGACGCTGTTCAAACATTCTCCTCTATATTTGGAAACTATATTCATGTCATAAAGCTGAAAATACGACAAATAAAACTAAACATTTCCATAACCTATCTCTCTTCTGACCCCACCTTTCTTTCCTTTTGACGCAGTTTCAGCGGTCAAACCGGGAAAATGCAAATAGGAAAAAAAGAAGAAGAAGAGGAAAAAAGGAGAAGAAATTTGAATATATGATACGAAAAAAAGAAACGGGATCGAATGAGGTTTCGTACGCAGAAGAGGAGTCTCTGAACTCTGTGAGCACCCAACTGGAAAAAGAAATTGGTCAAAGAGAGTTCTTGAGAGAGTTTTTGGGACCTAAGGAGGTGAGAAAAGAAGAAGAAGGGGTGGAGGAGTTCTGAGGAGAAAAAGAAGAAGAAGGAGAACAGAAGAGCAAATGGAGACAAAAATAGAAGAAGAAGAAATTTGAGACCACGTGGAGAAGAAGGATATGTTTTGACACAAGGTGGTGTTGTATTCGACACCTTCTTAATCGGGAAGAAAGAAGGTTCCGCATACCGTATTTCCTCTAATAGAAGCCTACCTGAAGCGCCAACGTTGAGCTTATATATCTCGGTATCGAGATAATTGAGCTCAAAACTGACAGTCTAAATTTCCGAATTTCTGAATTTCTGACTTTCTGAATTTCTGAATTTTCGGATTTCAGAAATTTCAAACTTCTGAATTTTTTTTAAATTTCAAAAATCACCTATATATAAATATCAGACGAACTTTGATGCAGCCTTATTGATTCAGATGATCCGTGACGCTCGAAAATCCGATTTTCAGAATTTTTAAAATTTGTGAAAATAACACAAAGATTAGAAGTTGAAATCGGATATAAAGGGAATTTCCTTGAAAAAACTTTTTTAAAGAAAAAAAAAATTTTTACGAGAGTAAACTTTACAACATTCTGAAGTGAGAGGAACCTTTGATTTTTTTTTCTTCTTCTTTTCTCTATTTTTTACAAGAAAAAGAAGAAAAGAAAAGGATTTTTGTTTTTTCGAGAGTACTCATAAAGGGGAGAAGAGAGAGAGAGAGAGAGAGCTCATGACGCAGTTCTTTTTGCTCATTTCAATAGTTTTTTTCTTTTTTAAACCTCTTCTTCTTCTACTTTTTACTTCCCGAATACCGGTGGATTTTGTGTGTCAACACTGAAAAAAAATGCAATAAAAACCGATAGGAGGCCAGAGAGACCAGAAAAAACAGAAATGCGAAAAAAAACAAGAAAAACATTCCAAAGATTCATCTTTGAGCTCATAGGTTGAGCAATGAACAGCAAGAAAGGCGCGAAGGAGAACCGGAAAAAAGGAGAGAAGACGTCAAAATGGTTGAATAAAAGTGTCCAAATTCTTCCGTTTTTTTATTCATTTGGTTTTAAAATTCAGCGAATTGTTCTTCATAGTTTTTCCTTTTTTTTCTATTGACCATCAGAATTCGAAAATTCGAACAGAAAATTCAGTATTTGAAAGTTTTGAAAGCTTAGAGTTAGAAATTTTGCGCATTTTCTAGGAACTTAGAAGTTCCAAGAATCCAAAAAGTCCAGAAATTCAGAAATTCAGAAATTCAGAAATTCAGAAATTCAGAAATTCGGAAATTCAGAAATTCAGAAATTCAGAAATTCAGAAATTTAGAAATTCAGAAATTCAGAAATTCAGAAACTCAGAAATTCAGAAATTCAGAAATTCAGAAATTCAGAAATTTAGAAATTCAGAAATTTAGAAATTCAGAAATTCAGAAATTCGGAAAATTAGAAATTCAGAAATTCGGAAATTCAGAAATTCAGAAATTCAGAAATTCAGAAATTTAGAAATTCAGAAATTCAGAAATTCAGAAACTCAGAAATTCAGAAATTCAGAAATTTCAGGAAATCAGAAGTTTGGAAATTCGGAAATTCAGAAATTCGGAAATTCAGAAATTCAGAAATTCAGAAATTCAGAAATTCAGAAATTTAGAAATTCAGAAATTCAGAAATTCAGAAATTTAGAATTCAGAAATTTAGAAATTCAGAAATTCAGAAATTCAGAAACTCAGAAATTCAGAAATTCAGAAATTCAGAAATTCAGAAATTCAGAAATTCAGAAATTCAGAAATTCAGAAATTCAGAAATTCAGAAATTCAGAAATTCAGAAATTCAGAAATTCTCATTTAGGTCAGATTTTTCATTTAGGTCAGATTTCTTTCAATGACATACAAAATTTGCTCAATGTAGACCGGCACATTAAGAGTTCAAGAATCGGGAATCGGCACTGTTAATCCTATTTAATTTTTTTTGTTTTAATTTGCGTACTGATGTACGAGGAAAGACATGCAAACTAGACAGTTTTTTTTTCAAAGTTTTGTTTGTTGAAAGTTTCGGAGAATAAGAAGATGATCACAAATCAATATGTCAAGTTTGAGCTCAATTATCTCGGTTCCTGTAAATGATTTCAAAATCTTGTCAACTAATAAAATATTTCTGATATTATGGTAAACATTTTATTAGTTGACACATTTTTGATATATTTTACAGGAATCGAGATAATTGAGCTCAAAGTGGACTGTTTGGATGGCCTTCTATTAGAGTGTTCATGGTATTAAAAATCTGTCAACTGAAAAAAGATGTATTTTCTGAAATTAAATAGAATCAAATTGAACTAAAGTAAATATTTCAAATTAAAAAGCCTTTCTATTACAGGTTTTATGGTACTTCCAAATTTCAAAAAACAAACCGAAAAGTTTGCAAAAACGCTTTGCAAGATTTTGCAAAAAATCTGGCCACATGTGAAAATCATGTGATTCGATTTTTCCAGAACTAATCAAATTTTTTTCGACCTGTTGACATTCTATTAAAGCTCAGACATCTTCATGTGAGCATCACATGAAGCCAAAATTTCTAGAAATAAGAAAAATTCTAAAGTTTGGAAATTCAGAAATTGGAAAATTGAGAAATTGAGGAATTTAGGAATTCAGAAATTCAGAAATTCAGAAATTCAGAAATTCAGAAATTCAAAAATTCAGAAATTCAGAAATTCAGAACTCGAGAGGATCGGGAAAAGGATTTTTCCAATATTCGAAAATTGAAAATTGGCTGACACGATTTCAAAACAGGTCAGATGACAGGGAAAACAAGTAGCAGGAAAAAATAGAAAAAAAGAACCACAGGTGAATAGACAGGACTCCGGACGGTCTCTTTCTATTTTTGACTCTCGTTCGGATACTATTTCCGAGAGAAAAGGTTTTTTTCGTCGGGGTGTGGGTAACTTTGGGAGGGAAGAAGGGATAACGAAAAAGAGAGAAAAGAGAGAGAAAAGATTGACGAAATATGTAAATAGAGAAGAGAGACAAGTTGAGCCAGTAGTCGGTGACACAGAGAGAGAGATGGAGCATTGGAGAGACGCAGAGAAACAAGGGCACGGGCAAAGACGTAAGAAGAGGAGCGTATCGACGTCACGGACAGAGGACATAGGAGGAGAAGAACGGGGTGGTGAAAAATAGAGAAAAGATGTGGTTTGATTGAAAAGAAAAATCTTCCACCTCATATCACAGTTCAAGTACTTTCTAACACCACCGCATTGTTCAAAGTAAGAGAGGATTTGAGCCGAAAACGATGACTAATTGTTGTTGTTTTTGGACTTTTTAGAGTCACCAGAATGGAAAATTCTGGAAAATTCCAGTTGAAAAAGTTTTGAAAACAAAATTCAGAAGTTTTTCAGAAGTTCAGGAAATCAGAAAAAAAATCAACGGTTCAACGATTCAGAAAATTCAGAAATTCAAAAATTCCGGTTTCCTGAAATTCGAAACTCGGAATTCAGAAATTCTGAAATTCAGGAATTCAAAAATTCAGAAAATCAGGAATTCGGGAATTCGGAAATTCAGAAATTCAGAAATGCAGAAATGCAGAAATCTAGAAATTCAGAAATGCAGAAATGCAGAAATTTAGAAATTCAGAAAATTCTGGTATTCAGAATTTCAGAAAATTCTTCCGAAATTCAAAAAAATCAGAAATTCTAGAAAATTCTAGATATATTTTTAGGTTACGGTTGTTGAGACCTTCGGCCACGGTCACCGGCGTTTTTCTCTGTTCTGACCTTTCGACTCCTCTCTTCCGCCCACCAAGATCTCGTTCTCACGCTTTGCAAAATCCTTTTGGACTTGGTTTTGCCTGTTTCCTTTTGGCGTCACTGCGAACATGAATTATTGAAAAATATGAAAATAGAAGTAGTAGTCGTCCACCGGAGAAGAGGCTCACATATAAGAATGTGGCTGAGCAATCTCATTAAATAGGCGTGCTCTCCGAGCAGAACCAAAATAAGGAGGGAATACGTATTCAATGCTTGATAAATGTCGGCTTGGCTCGGCTCGATGTGAAAATTGATTGGCTGGGAAGGGAAAATCCGAAATTTTTTTTTTCACCAAAGCCAGGAAAAACGGTGCACATATTAATAAACTCAATTGAAAAAATTTGTTTTTGTTCAATATTTTCTAGGGATGTTCGGAATTCCTAAAATTCCAGCCTTTTTTTCCGATTTTTACAAAATTATATATTTTTCGGAATTTTTAACTACAGTATGTCAAAGGCGCAGACGAAAAGTTCTCTCGTGGTTATTGAGCGGAATTACTTTGAAAGTTTTTTGTCCCTTTTCGAAACCTTTTTTCCAATTTTTAGCCAAATTTTTGCGCTTTTGTGAGAAGAAAGTGAATTTTCTACATTAAATCGTATTTTTGAAATTTTGCTCCAAACGAGCCAATGAAAAACTTAAAATTAGCCCAGCCGGGTCCGCGACATGCATAAAAACGGGGAGTATTAGATGGAGCCCCAATGAATGAAAGAAAAGAGAAAAAACGCGTTCAGGAAATGCGTCGACGACTCCAAAATAGCCACCGTCTTTACTATTTTTAGCTTGCAAACCGGGGGAGAGCAATGCTTCCTTGATGATTACAACATGACGCGAGAGCTATATATCCCCCATCCACATAAGTAAATCGTTCATTCTTTGCAGAAGCACGTACAAAAAAGATGGCAGGCAATATATATAAATAAAATGTATATAAAAATATAAATATGAAGGTGAATAAATGAATTGAGAAGGGGTTAGAATTTATGTTCACATCGGGACAACGTAGTTTCCAGGGAAGAGGCCTGTCACACCATCAAGCACTCCTTCGTACCAGTCGTCGTCATTTTTCTTTAGCACGTACACAATGGCATTTTCTCGAAGTGTCAACTCGTCTTCTTTCTGAGCGTCGTAGTCGTAAAGGACCCGTACTGAAATTTAAGCAATTTTTATTGAAGTGGAAAAAAATATTTTTCGAAAAGTTCGAACCTTTTTCTAGATACTCATTTGGCATCCAACCGGCACTGGTATCGAATAAACTAGGCGGTTGGCTTGAAGTATAGGATTCCGTCCTATTAAAAACTCCGTATGCTGAAGATCCTCCAACGGATTCTGGAGGTGGTGGCAGGTCATCCATATCATCTTGGGTGGATAGTTGACTCGACAAAGGATTCAACATTGATGGCGGTGGTGGTGGGAGGTCATTTCTTGTAACTGTAGGCTTCCTTATAGTCCCGTAACTTTGTTGCTGTTGCATTTGTTGTTGATATTGCTGTTGTTGTTGCTGCTGCTGCTGAACTACACTTCCAGGCGCCACGTATCCATTGTAGTGCAACGAAGAAAGTTGAGGTGGTGGAAGTGGGAATGTAGGAGATTCAGGACCACCGGTGCTACTTTGGGCCGATGAAAGTCTTGGAACAGAAATCGCAGCCATTCCATCTGTTCGATTTCCAGCTCGTATTGTTCCGTATCTGTCTTGCTGATAAATGGAATTGTAGTCGGATGATCCGTGCTGACTTCCGCTTCCTCCTCCACTCATATGCTCGCCAAATTCCGAACCGTGGCTAATTTGTCGAGTCATTCGAGACTCCGATGTCATCTTAATAATCGGATTATAAAAATATAATTTCCTTAAATTCTGTTACCTGTGGCAGCCGATAGTCAGATGGGGCAATAGAGGGAGCGTATGGTCTTGAAGCTCTTCCAAGAGTTGCGGTTCGTTCTCCAGCATAGCTTCCATAGGCAGGAGAATCATTATACAGCTGGCTATGAGCAGATGGGTTAGAGGAGGATATCGCTGAAGCCGCTCGGGATATGGTGGTTCCGCTGCGAGATGGTTCGGCTATTCTGACACCATGCCCGATTCCATCAAGACATGAGAAATCGATTGGTGTTCGTTGATATCTGATTTTGGGTTCTTGCACAGCTGGAGCGATGATTTTCGGTTGCTTGAACAGAGTTTTGTTGCATGTCAAAGCTCCGATTTCTCGTCTGGCAAGCTTTTCTTTGTGAACGTCCACAACTTGATTAACATATTGCACTTGATTTACCAACGAGTCGATTTTGTCTGTTTGTAGAGCAAGCATATCATTCAAATCCCTGAAAACCATTAGATAGAAGTTGACCCATTACATTATATCTTACGTTGCCATTTTGTTGATCTGATATGCAAGACTAGCCAGAGATTGAATTGCGTACTGTTTTGTCTCGTCCAATGCATGTTGCTGGTTCTGAAATTTCAATATTTGCAAAGAATTATTGAGATCATTACTTACATTTGATGTTACATAATTATTTTTCAAATATGCTGCAACATTGGCTAAGTTCGAGTAACTTGTTTCTAGTTGATTTCTATGATCCGGAATCCGCCTCTCAATCAGTTCTTGTAGATCAGGTACACTCATGCCACCTTCAGCATGATGGAGCATCTGAAAATTTACTGATTTCATTGGATGAATGCTTGAAATTTCCTTGATTTTGAACCGAGAACAGAGTAATGAATCATTTGAGGAGGCGGGGTCTCAGCGTTCAACCAAAAAGCAAGGCGCGGCAGCCCTTTTCGCAAACACCGCGCGCAGTTTCGTCGTTCTGTTTTTTTCCATTTTAGCTCACCAATTTCAGCTCCACAATCAATAAACATTCATTAACCGCATTTCAAACATTTTCAAAATCTCACTCCAATCCAAATCATGAACGCCAACGAGATGCTCGCCCAAATAGCTGGGATTTCTGTGCAAACAGAGGTTGGTATTCAAATTAGCTTTTTTTCCGTAAATAATTTGAAGTTATATTTTAGGTTACTAAGCAAACGGAAGTGTACGACGACCATGCTCATTACGAAGAAGAAATAAGCTACGATGACCTGGACCCGGAACCGTATGAAACTATCGCTCGAGAGGCTACTCCACCGGACAATTCTAGACGCAGGCCGGGAAGAGTGGCTCAGAGAGAGCTGGAAGGTCTTCAGTTCCAAAACCCGGGTGGCAAAATCGCGAAACCAGACACATCGGATATCTATAACACAAACCGTGCTCGCAGAAACCATGTCAATCTGTCAAAACAACAACAAATGCAAGAAGTCAAAGAGAAGGCCCTTCACCATGACGCTAACGGAAAACTATCAAGCACAGTGAGAGGAGAGACTTCTGTTATTGATCTCTGCGATTGCTTAGACGCCAAGTGTGATGGATGCCAATGGCCATGCAAAACATGCAGTTGTAAGTTTGACTTCCGGGAATTTTTCAACTAAAAATACATCCAAAATCACATTTTCAGCTCGTAAATGCCTTATCGGATGCCGCACCAATCGTAGAGAGATGGCTGCCAAATGTGAGGAGATGTTCACAGTGGAAGGAGCTTCGAGCCACGTCGTCGCGGTCAACGCCTACTTCCCGATTCAAATCAAGGACTGAAACCTGTTTTCGTTTATAAATATTCTTCTTTTATGGGTCTCTTGTGATGTATCTCTCCCTCGTAAATACTAAAATTCGCCACTAAATACCACATAAATTTTCTTCCTTTTTTTCGAACCCGATTTCCCGGTGTTTTTCATTGTTCCTCAGGCAATTCTTCCTGTTTAAATACCTTTTTTGGAAAATCTTTTTCAATTGAACTAATTATTTTAACTCAGAAATGTCGTCATACGCTCTTTATCGAGGAACAACACTGGGACAAGCGCTGGACCAGACGCTAAACGACATGGAAGCCGATGGTCTTCTTCCAAAGTCGCTTGTATCGAAAGTGTTGATGCAATTCGACAAAAGTATGAACAAACAGATTTCGAGACTTCCCAAAGAGAAGATGAACTTCTGTGCCACACAACTTCTCACTTACCGTTATTGCGATAATGTCTGGACATTTATTCTCAACAATGTCAATTTGAAGGACCCACAAAGATCATTTGATGAGCCAATCGAGAAGTGGGTAGCTCTTTTTTTAATTTATTACTTTTAAAATTATTTTTTTCAGACTCAAAATTGTTGCTTGCGACGGTCGACAAACCAGTCTGCTCCAGACACTCGGGCAAGGACCATCGAAACGAGTCGCGCGAGCTGCCGGGGACGATGAGGACGATGACAGCGATTAGAATATTTTATCATGACTCAATTCTTGTTGTTAACTTTAATTCTAGATTCTCTCTAAAAGACCCTATCTGCTCATTTCCACTTGATAGATCTCCCAGCTGTCACAGCATAACCCCTCCTCTCTCTTTACTGTGTAGAATAACTTTTGTATTTGATTAATTTAAGATTTGAACAAAGAAAATTTATTCGTCGGAAAAACAACTAAATTTTAAAAATATTAGGTGGAATAACATTTTTCACACAAATTCCTTCGAATACAAATCGATGGAGAATCGCAGGAAATTAGCTTTTCACACTTTTTGCACGGTTTCTCGTCTATTATGTGCTTTTGTAAATGGGCCACGAAACTTTGAGTAGATGAAAAGTTAGATTTCATGCACAGGTGACACTTGATGCGCGCTTTTCGTGACAATGATTTTCGATGAGACTGATTGTTGTGAGCAATCCGTTCTTCTTCTTCTTCCTCTTCTTCTTGGGGATCTTGTGGATATCCCACCTGATCGGTAGCGGCTCTTTCTAGAACGTAGTCCTGAAAGGAAGTCGTTAGTATCGATGAACTCCTATATAAATACCGTCTCAATGACTTCTTCTGAAATCGGATTCTCAAAGTTCTCATACAAAATGATTGGTGGTTCTTCATCTTTTGTCGCCACGTCGCCTCCTTCTCCCGGACGAACCATGGAATTCCATTCCAAGGACTCGCCAGCAGTATCCATGTATTCAACTCCTTGGTATGCATTGTTGTCCTCGTTTTGGCCAGGAACCGGACGCCACATCGATCTGAATAGTGTGATGAGCATTCGAGAATAATCTACAAAGCGGCTTACTTGGAATCATAAACATTATGAGGTCGACAAGCAAAATGATGCCCATTGAATGGATCTCCACTGCTCAAAAACTTGTATCCATCTAGATGAATCGTCCGGATTACGTCTCGAATTCCACTCTCGGTTTTTGCTTTTCGGCAACTTAGACAAGCATAAAATTTGGTGTTATTTAATCCATAACGATTGAAATGGAATTCGTAGTATAAATGGGGTTGAGCAATAGGAGTCAGAATGGCTACCTCATGAACTTTTCTCGTTTTATGCTTATTGAACGGCATTCGATAGCGTATTCTGTATCCCGCCGATGTGGCTATTTCCTGACTCAGCTTGATTTTCATTGACGGTTCCCACGGAAAGGGTTCAGAAAGTCCGGGACGTCGATGGCGATATTTTGGAAGAGCCGTCTTTTTCCAACAGATTTTATCATCCATCTGCAAATTATATGATGGAGATGAATCTTATAAATCTATCTACCATAATAAAAGCATCCGATGAGAAATGATAACAGCAGATATAGGATTCATGAGTAGAGTTCAGCACACTAGATGGTAGTCGGAAGAAATGAAGCCATTGGACACGAAGCTCTTCGGATTTTGGCCATGTGAACAGTCGAATCTTTTCGGATTGAGTTCGCTGACAAACGATACATGAAGCGCTGGATCCGATTATGTTTCGTATTCCTGGAAGCATTGAAATTTGGCAAATACTCACTTGCTATAGAATCATTTGCTATTTTCCCATTTGCTTTGAAAGCTCATTTGCTATAATATCACTTGCTATAGATCTTTTGCTATTTTAGCTCATTTGCTACAGATCATTTGCTATATTTGTTTTTAATTATAGGCTTAGGCGGAAGTTATGGAAAAAACAACGTTGTAGTCTAAGCCTATAGCAGTGTGTACTTTCGAAACGACTTCGAGGAATTCCTCGAAATTTTTCGAGGAATTTTTCGAGAAATTTTTTCGAAAAATTTCGAAGAATTTTTCGAGACGATTTCATTTGAACACTACTAATGCCGCCACCCTTTCGTTTTCGGGTCGAGCCGGGCCGGGAGAATTTTTCTCCAGCCCGGGCCCGGGCCGCAGCCAGGGCCTACCCGGGCTGGGCCGGGATTTAGCAAGTATGGTTTTTTCTGCTCCAAAAAATAACTTTTTCTGAGTTAGTTTCTTGCTCGGCAACCGATACCATTAGATTCCTCTCATGATTTTACGTATAATACGCCTAGCTGCCGAGCTAGCTTTTTAAAATTAAGCCGTGTAAGAACCTCCAAAAAATCTGCCGAGGTGGCTTCCACCACAGGACACCAAGTAACCTATATGTGCCGCCTACTCTATGTGCTGAAGTGGATTTCATTGTGTTAAGCTTGAAGAGAGCGTTCGAATGGTGGTAAGATGAACTTTCTAGCATAAAAATGAACCAAGTTATGATGAATGGAAGTTTTAGTGGCTCGGGACGTCTTCAGGAATCTGGGACAGTACGTATTCTAAAGATCAGAAGGCTCTATCTCTCTTCTGA